TCCAAAGCTGCCCATGCTGCGGCGTCGTTCTTTGGAGGAGCTGCTGGAGTGCACAGCTTCTTCCCTCCAAGACAAAACTGGGGAGACACCAAACCTCCAGCAACTGAGCTGTCATCTCTTCCTGCTCGTTACACCAGCCTAATGACCATCCTGACTCGTAATTACTACAATAGTAAGAAGCTTTCAGTTCTCACGCTGCTCCAAGACCAACGCTACCTCCTTTGAGGCAAGCAGAGGCTTTACTCTAGCACAAAACTGGAAGTTTTGGCACTTAATTCTGGTAAGAACTTTTAATGAACAGCTCTGTAAATGGCTTTAGAAGAGCCCAGATCCCCCCACCCCCAATGTTTAAGTGTGTGCTCACTGGACATGACTCAACCACAAACAAGCAGTGTTTTGGATAATAACCCTCTCTGTGCCCTGCATCACCACAATCACACAACCCTCAGAAAACATTCATTTCCTCTTCTCAAGCGTGTTTCGTAGAGATGAAGAGCATAAAAAGAAAACTCAACTCCCATTGTCTCAACGTAAGTGTAAGGCATTCAGGAACTGCAAAAATATGTATTAATGATCTCCTATTTATACAGATGCACTGAAAAATATCCCCCAAGCTGTTTGAAAGTGTCTTTGTTTGCAGAAGTTCCAGCATTACATATTCCCAGAACAAACCAAAGACAATGGGAACCAAGAAAATAAACCTCCTTGATTTGAGAAAAGAATCTAAAGATAAGGTATGTGCCCATAAACAGCTTAATTTTAAGAGTCTGAATTCTTTAAGCCTAGGCCTGAGGAAAATCATCACTGAGTAGACTTAAATATCCTTTTGTGATCAGATATTTAGGTCATACCAATTACAAGAACAAAAGGAAAACCTTAGGCATTTTCTTAAGCAATAACTGCAAACAGATAAAACAGTCTCCACACTAAATTTAGTATGTTTTGGCAACACTCAATATCCAGGTTTTCAAAAGAATTTGGTTTTCCTGCCAGTTAGCAGAACTCAAGACACAAAATCCTCTTCACCTCCAGAAACTCTCTCAAGGCAAAGAGCAATTGACTTGCTCTGGCTTTGTTATTTGTAAATTTTTAAATTATTCCTGGAACACAACTTGAAAAGAATGGCCTGAGAGTTCAGAAATTCATGGATGTCCTTCAATCTCACTGAGAGTCAATGAAGGGCAAGAGAACAGAGAACCAACTTCACCTCTAACCCAGCAAGAAAAGCATCTCCTTGGAATCAGCAGTCACATCTCACTGGAAGCACATATCCAGACAACCCAACAGCCAACTCCTGGAGATTTTTAGGAAATTTCTGCACATCCAGCTGCCTAGGGCAGGTGCATCTCAAGTTTGTCGAGCATGGAGACTTCCAGTTAAGCTGTTAAACCTACCAAGCCTGTGGTCACACCGAGGGCCATGATTAGGATTCAAGACTGGTTGCTGTGGAAAGAATTCCTCAGCTCTCCTGATGCTATTATTCCAGTCTTTTTGGCTGCAAGCTCAAGACAACCACACAGTGGTTTACACTGCAAATCCTACTACCACAACCAGTGACTCTTCATTTAAAGAGATTTCTGAAGCAAAAGCAAAAAAAAAATCTGTGGCTTTTGCCCTACAATGCCTTTGGGCAATTCTTACACATAAAACTAAAAACACACCTAAAAACATTGTAACATTCCCAGGTTCCAGTCACCCCTGTGCACCAAACACAAACCAGTGATACAGACTGGGCTCACAGCATCACCACAAGCCTCATGCCTGGGCTTGCAGAATTGAGCATTTATTTCAGTCTCGCTTTTCCAAGCAGCCCACAGCAGGATCTCCTGCTCCATAAAGGATTCACTGGAATGTTCCCTTCCTCCCCAAATGCTGTCTGCTACTTGAGAACTGAACAAGCTGCACCTACCCTAAGAAATACATACATTTATAAAACCAATGGGCAGAAAGACAGAAAGACTGCAGCACTGCACACCTCCCTATAACCAACAGCATCATGGACATTTCACACAGCTCGGGAAGCGAAAGACCTCAAACCTCATGCAAGAAAACATTCCATTAAAATAAACAGCTTGAATATAAGGAAAGAACAGCAACATTACACATAAATGGATGCAGAACACTTCAGTCTGCATTTAGACACACCCTTTTACCAGTCAAATTTTTCACTAACTACCCAGCATTACCAATGCATTGCCAAAGGACACTTCCCCTGGATAGGGAACAGTGCCAAGTTATTAACTTCTGTGGAGTATCAATTTGAGAAAACACACCGTGGCTTGGAGAAATACCTTGATCTAGGAAACTGCCCAACAAGAAACCAGCACCATTTTTAAACACACGAGCAGCCAGCAGAGGAAATCACAAGTGTAAGGTGTCCCTAAATGACACACTCAGGGAAATCATCTCCAACGTGCTCCTGAATCCTGATGTGCACAGCACTCCTCACAAGCAATGCTACACCAGAATTTTCAAGACGGTGGGAAGTTTTCTTATCTCTGTTTACAAACTCAAGGACAGAGAAATCCTATCAATTTGATTCACATGTTACTTGGAAAATCTGCCAGAAGGGAGGAAGCTCCATAAGCAACAACCAAACAGGGAATAACTCCAGGGCAAGGACCAGGGAGTGAAGAGCAACGCATTCCTCACCACAGAGATTTAGCTCCTTTTTCACTCAGCAGTAACCAAACACGTGCCAAAGAACGGGCAGGTGACAGGACTGGTTTCAAAATTATCTAATAGCCAGAGAAACATGAGTGCTGAATGGAGCAGAGTCCAGGACAACACCCAAGTGAAATCACAGAGCTGTGCAAAGAATCCCAGGAGCAGGAATACCTGAGCTCTCCATCCACCTGGGACCTGCTGGTCAGGACTTGCTTCTTTCACATGTAGTCTGAATGTCACCTTGAGCACATGGAGCAGGAAGGGTTGGTAAACTTATGAAACAAAGTCTGAAATCCCTGCTTTCAGTAAAGCCTATTTTCAAGTTGTAACTGGGTTTTTTCCCCTTTAGTAGAAATCAGGCATTTGGGAAGCCTACTGCCACTGCCAGAGGAGTCTGCACATTTAAGGGGCTCAGTTAACACCCAATGTAATGGTGCTGCACATGGCTGAAAATGGAAATTAAAAAAAAAAAACACACACAAAAAAAAAAAAATCCTGCAGTTACACAAAGCCTCAGTATGGCAGAGGGAAAAACTGCTTCATCATCAGCCATGGAAATTTTCTGAATCCCTGGTTATCTCGTCAGGCCAGAGCTGCGTGAGGAGGAGCACAGATGGGTACTGTGCCCTTTCTCCTGCCATAAGAGCAGCAGCTCCAGAACTGCAGCGTGAGCACAACCCTGGGGCTGGGGCTGTGCACGTCCTTTACTGCCACATATAAAATGAGACAGCAAAAAATGATAAACCAAAGTATTCCAGTTGGAAATGGTCCTAGACTTTGCCTCCTTTTAGGGACTTTCCATACTGTGACACTCCAGAGTGACTTGGTTCTGTGTCTTCTATACATTAGGAAGGAAACAGTTTAGAATTAGCTCAGGGCAGTGTCTGAAACAGAGGAAAAGTTTACACACCCATTTTCAATAAACTCTACACCTATCAAAAGGGAATTACAGCCTACAGCATCTATTTAAATATGGTTCCAACCTCCTTAACTACTCTGAAGCACAAAGGCTTTAAAGCTTTACTTACTAATAAATATCCTTGATAATTCTTACAGGAAAAGGCAGAACACACTGTGAAGAAAATCCTAGCCAAAAAAACAAAAGAGGGGAAAAGTTTATAAATTCTTTAAAGATTTTTTTTTTTTTTGAGAAAGTCTTTACTTGAATTAAGCTGCCAGGCAGCTTTATTAGCATTTCTGCCACACAACTGTCTGCTTCCCTACACACCCTGCAAACGTCACAGGAAAACAAAGAAAACTCCCATTTTCATGTGGTCGTTAGAAAGATGCAAATCTTTCTGGTTTGTGGAGGAGAGACAAGGAAAAGAAAATGCCAACAACCTTCAGCTCTGGCAAAAAAAGTACCTCAGAAGCAGCTGAACAACTTCCCAGTTACCCTGGAAACAGAGTTTACCCCTCAGCAGACAGGGAAAATTGCCTGCAATTACCACCCTAGAGTAAAGCACCAGTTTGGACAAAACATCAATTTCTGTTTGCTGCAGCTCCTTTAATGTGATCCCAGTAATTTATCATGAGCAATATTTGATCTGGAATGGAATTCTATTACCAAAGCCCAAAGAGCCTGAGCTCTATTACCAGACCTGCAGGTACAATCAAAGGTTACAATATCTCCTAATGGCACAGAAGAGCTCCGCCATCTGCCAAGTGAGATTTCCCCTAATCCCATTCCTCACACACAAATCAGAATCACCCGGATTACGCCACAGAAATAGAAATCAAGTCAATACCTGAACGCAGGGGATTAATCTCCCACCTCCAGACGGGAGAAAGGCAAGAACAGCAACAATGCTGCAGGAAGGCAAAGCTTTCCAGCACACAGGAAATTCTGGGATTTCACTGATTAGCTTCACCCATCCAGAATCCCAGGGCTGCTCCCTCCCAAATCCGAGCGCAGGACTCCGTGCAAATTCAGGGAACTGACCTCCACGTGATCTTTTGGAGCAGCTATTTCCACCCTGAAGCGGCACTCCGCGTCTCTCCGTGCACATACAAACCCCTTGGATTTGGAGTTAGCAGGAAAAAAATTAACAAATGAGCTGCATATCACCAGAACAACCCAAATCACCGTCCACCCAAGTGCTTCCAAAACAAAAATTTATTCCCTTAGCAGGGGCGTTGGAATGAGATGAGCTTTAAGATCCTTTCCAACCCAAACTATCCTGAGATTCTACGTACACGCGATGCCAACAAACAAAGCTATGTGCATCTTCAATTAAAAAGCAGCATGATGACTTTAAAACCGGCACTTCGAAGTAATTTTAACGAGCAGAAAATGTATTTCCTGAAATCCAAGGCATTAAGGAGTCACATACCACTCTCGGGAATGCCTGAATCCCTCCTGCTCTGCCCAAGGAGCCGTCGCCCGGCTGTAAACCGGGAGGGGAGGGGATAAAGGGGGAGCATCTTTATTTGTCCATTTAAAACCTCCAAGCACATTATCACCCTTAATCCAGCGAGGAACAGATAACTGCAACCCTCGCGGATTACAAAATTCGGTAATCCACAGAAACACGAGCAACAACACCACCCACCAAAAAAAAACAAAACAAAAAAAAAACAAAAACACCTACAACCCCCCTCCCCACCTCCAGCCGCCGACTTGGAAGGGCAGAAGGGGTTTTTTTGGAGGGGGGCTTTTCCTTTAGCACGAGCCGCGGGCTCTGACGCAGCGAGAAAGCAGCAGCGGGGAGGTCCGGCGGCGGGGCGAGCGGCCGTGCGCTGCCCCACGCCGCCGGACCCCTCCCGGTTCCCGCGGAGCCGCCGCGGAAGGCGAGGCAGCCCCGGGGGAAGCGGGGCAGGGACTCCCGGAGGGTGAGCGAGCACTGCCCGCCTTTGTCCCAGCGCCGCCTCGCCCCTCTCACCAGCAGCACTCACCCAGCCAAGCCACCGGCCGCTCCCTCCCTCCGCGGCTCCGCCGCACCGGGGAAGTTGCGTGAAGTGAAGTTGGGCGCGCAGCGGCCTTTCCCCCGCGGCGGCGGCGAGCGGGCACGGCCGGGGGTGGGGCGGGGCGGGCAGGGGGCCGTCCCTCGGCGCTTCCCCGGAGCGAGGGGCTGCGGGGAGGCGGGAATGTCCCGCCCCGGTGCCGGTCCAGCCCCTTCGCCCCGGCGGCCGCGGGGCCCCGCGGGAAGCGCCGCCGTTGCCGTGGAGACCGCGCGGTGCGGCCGCGGCCGGCTCCGCCCCGCTCCACCTGCTGCGCTGGGGTCGCGGGTTCGAGTCCCGGCCCCGCCGTCCCGAGGGACAGGGGTTGGGTGGTGTGGGTGGTGGTGGAAAATTGGGGTGTGTCAAGATTATTGTGTTGTGTGTCCTCTTCTGGACAGGGATAAATGAAAAAGGGAGGTGCTGGAGAGGGTCCAGCGGTGGCCACAAGGATAATGAGGGGTATGGTGCATCTTTGTGATGAGGAGATACTGCAGGAGCTGGGCCCGGTCAGTCTGGAGAGAATCTCACCAATCCATACAAATAGTGCATCTTTGTGATGAGGAGATACCGCAGGAGCTGGGCCCGGTCAGTCTGGAGAGAATCTCACCAATCCATACAAATAGTGCATCTTTTTGATGAGGAGATACTGCAGGAGCTGGGCCCGGTCAGCTGTCGCCCTAATTCTTAAGATTTTCTAAAGCCTTCTAAGTTTACATTCTGTTAGAAAACTTTCCCACACAATTTCTATAAACAACATATTGTTTGACATTCCTTCATAGAGCTGAAGAAACTTAATATACTAATAATTTATCCAATATCTTTGGAGAGGTGGCCCATTCACTCTCCAATCCAATGTCACCTTTAAAAAAGTATAAAAATTAAAGTCAAAAAATAAACCTTCTTCTTTACCTTGCAAATAGCAAGCAGCTCGCGTTGTGCTTCCACATGTCCTATAACAACAGTCAGCCTGGAGAGAATCTCATTAATCCATACAAATGGTGCATCTTTGTGATGAGGAGATACTGCAGGAGAGAATCTCATTAATCCATACAAACATCTCAAATCGTGTGCCAAGAGGATGGTGCCAGGTGCTTTTCAGTGGTGCCCGGTGACAAGGAGCAGTAAACACAAGATCCACCTCAATATGAGGAAGAAGCTCTTCCCATGGAGGGTGGCTGAGCACTGGGACAGCTGCCCAGGGAGGGTGTGGAGTCTCCCTTTCTGGATACATTCCAGACCCACCTGGATGTCATCCTGCATCGCCTGCTCCAGGTGACCCTGCCTTGGCAGAGGGGATGGACTGGATGATCTGCAGAGCACCCTTCCCACCCTAAATACTCTGGGAGTCTATGATTCTAATCAGTGGAACAGGCAACAGCTGCATCCCTTAGTCAAGAACACCCTGAAACTACAAGCTTTAAGGACCTGAATTAAGAAGTTGATGTATGTTTATGTAAACATTGGTATCTTTCAAAGCTGGTTTGTTATAATAATAAAAATCACACCTACAGGTTAGAAAGACCCTGCCCAAGTGAAGACCCTTCCCCTGGGCATGTGGGGAAAGCAACTTGTATGGAAATTACTGACAAATCCCAATAAAAGATTGTGTTTGGAAAGTTACTAACTCTGAATTTCTGAGTGTGGTGGGCTGGATTTGTGGTATACACCGAGCACCCAGGCTGCAAAACCCTGAAATAAATAGTCAATGTCTTTTTCAACTGTGTCATTATGGGCTTGTCACACACCAGGTAAAAAATCCAATTTTGTGGCCACCAGTGGCAGCTCCTTGGCCACCACTGTCCTTCTGCCACCCTCAGGGCAGCACAACTGTGGAGCCCCATCCAGGGAACATTGCCTCAGAGCAGAGAAAATCAGAAAGGGAACGTTTCTGCTCAGACCAGGGAGTGTTCTTCTTTAGTCCCCTCCTCAGGAATGGCACCGGAGTCATTGGATCTGCCTGCTGGCATCCTCTCCATGGCACAGCTGTCACAGTTCAAAAGCTCCAAATGCTGCTTTTTGTCATTACCAAAGGTGTGGCTCTCTGCCGAGGAGGCCAAGGTCGGCTGCGAGGCGAGGCCGTGACTCACGGCAGGAGGAAGGAGAGTGTGCATGATGGGCTGGCCACAGGCCAGGGTGATGCCATGGCACAAGGAAAATGCATCTCCAAGGAAAATGCATCTCCATGTCCTCATCCCAGCTCTTGGCAGGACAGGGAAAGACCAGGCAGCAGGTCCTGTGTCCCTGCCCTCCATGGAGAACTCATTCATCTGCCTTTAAGCAGCCCAAATCTCCTTCTGTTGCAGGCACAGGGGTCCTGACCCAATGGAATGGGGGATCTCTCCATGACCCATTCCAAGGGAGCCAGACAGTCTCTGTAGCTGCCCCTTAGCAGGTGCATGGATGGGTGCAAGAGGAAAAGTTTCATCAGCAAAAACATCCAGCCCTGTAACAGCAGCAGGACTATGGAGCTGCCTCGCCTCCTCTGTTCCCACCCACATCCCATTTAAATTAAGATCGCTTTCCCACAGCTTCCCCCCTTGCTCCCAAACCAGGATAATATAGGTGTTTTCCCCACCTTAACAAGCCTTTTATCTTCACCACACCAAGGGATCCCAGCTCCGTGACTCATTTGCCTTTTCACTTTTCCAGAAGCCAAGCCATAACCCATCCCCTGAGCCACCTTTCCCCGCCAGCACCCTCTGATCCATGGCTGGGATCAGCGCCTCTGCAAGGAGGGCGTTCCTGCCTCTTACACCTCTTTGAAGCGGTTCTTGTTCCGCCCATGGCTGGGAACCCCTGCTCCAGCACACGGGGCTCTCAGCAATTCATAAGGAACGAGGATTAGCTCCTGATCAGTTATTCAGGAGCCACTTAATGGCAGCTCCCTCCACAGAAACACCTACACGGCGACAGAGCTGGAGAACTGGGCACGCCAGGCTCCGGCAGCTCCACAGCCCTGGGAGCTGCATTCAAATGGACACTTCAAGAGAGAAGCTATGTTCCCAAGGAGCTGCTGCCTTGTTTCCCACTGTTCAAGGAGGAGCCTGTGTGAATGCCCTGGAAGATGAGACCTGGGAGCTTCAAAGTGGCCACAGAAACTCGGGCTGTCTGGAGCTGCGGCAGAAGCTGCTCTGGTGGGATGGAGCAGGTCAGGCCCGACCCGTGTGGGGCCACAGGGGCCAGATCCTCACCCTCACCTGGTCCTTCTTGCCTGGGGGACACGCTGAAGCTGTGGGAAAGGGAATGGCTTTAGTGCAGGGCCAGCACAGAGCTGTGGGACTGGCAGTGCTGCAGTGGGGAGAGCCCCGGCTGCCACAGCCAGCCCTTGCACCCCAGCTCTGGCACCAGGCAGAATTGCCACCCTGCTGCCACCCCACTGCCACCCCACTGCTGCTGCTCCCTTAGAATCACAGAATTATTTGGGTTCAACCACCGAGTGCAACCACAGCCCTGCCCGGGCCACCCATGTCCCCGAGCTCCACATTGACACATCCGTTAAATCCCTTCAGGGATGGAACTCCACCACCTCCCTGGGCAGTCTGTTCCAATGCCTTACAATCCTTTCTATGGAGAAATTTCCACAATATCAAATCTAAACCTCCCCTGGCACAGCCTGAAGCCATTTCCTCTGGTTCTGTCCCTTGTTCCCTGGGAGCAGAGCATGACCCTCACCTGGCTGCTTCTGTCAGGGAGATGTGGAGAGCCAGAAGGTCTTCCCTGAGCTTCCTTTTCTCCAGGCTGAGCCCCTTTCCCAGCTCCCTGAGTTGCTCCAGGTGCTCCAGACCCTTTCCCAGCTCTGTTCCCTTCCCTGGACATGCTCCAACACCCCAGTGTGTGTCCTGCAGCAAGCAAAGGGCAAGGACAAGACCTGGCATGTGTCACAGCCCTGGCTCCTGGAAAGGTTCTTCCCCTGTGCTCTGTCCCCACCTGAGGCCCTGCATGAATCTTTGTCCCACTGCGTTTACCAGCACTTAGCAGAGCTGAGGTGACCCCAAAAGGAGCAGAGTTAAATGCAGAGCCCTGGCCTCTCACCCCATGTATATGAATTAGGGCTGTAATTCCACCCTGCGGCGTGGATGGCAACAGTGAACAGACATTTCCAGACCCATCGTGCAGACATCTGAGCTTTGACCCTCTGTTTTATGACTTCACTGGAGCCATCAGAGCGATGGCAAGCAGCAATCTACAGTGAAGGGGTGCCTGCACTCAGAAAAGAATGACAAGTCCCTTATCTATGACGTTTCCATTCTTCAGATACAGTTTTCAAACAAAAGGTTCCACTCCTCGGATGAGTAATGCCACTGTTTTTCCTCTCCACCACACAATTAACTTCCAGGCAGGGATTTCCTCAGAACTGAGCTAAGAATGGCACAAACCAGGGAGTACCAGTGAATGTTCCATGCACCAGTGGGGCTGCTCCGGTGATTTATCTCCTCTCACACAGCCTGTCAGTGCCCTGCAGTGGAGAAATGGGTTAATTGCAAACGGCACATGGACACTGCCCGTGACACACCTGCACACTGAGGACAGGGACAAACACTGGGGGGGCCCAGGCAGAGCCCCCCAGCCCCTGCTCTGTCTCATTTCTGTCTCACCCCTGCCTGATTTTGGCAG